AGAGAGAGAGAGAGAGAGAGAGAGAGGACACCATAAAAGATAAATCACTTTCAGATAAGACAAGTTCCTCTTTTGATAGTGCCACGTGTCATGCACAAACATAGCTCTTACATCCCCAGGAAGCTCAGATGTAAAGCTTAACTTAAAATCCTACTGTCAAATATAGCTGCAAACAGCAATGACAGGTTCAAGCAGTTCAGCAGTTAACCAGAGGTCCAGTGACGCTTTTTCAAAATGGGATCTTGAATGAAAATAAAATATGGCGCAAGAATGCTGTGAAGATGCCCAAATCCGAGCAATAACAACACAATACCTTATGTTCTGATCATTTACGGGTGTCCAAGTCTGTAAGATCCCGATTTAGCTCCAATCAGCGTGCCAAATTTGGAAGCTTTTGCAGGACTATATCTGCCTGACCATATAATGTACTACTCAGTAAATAAGCAGGGAATTCAGAAACTTTGTCTTGCCATTCAAAAATACAACTGTAAATATTACCCATCCATTGAGAATAGCCTCAGCCATGTAGTGGCTCATCCCCTGCTTTGCCAGATTTAAACAGGAGAGCCATATTCAAGACTTTAAATGCTCAGTCTAAACTGTATATACATTTGTGATACATACTTAAGTAGATTACTTATGAAATATTTGCAATTTGCAACTTGAAATGGTAATTTTCATTCATAATTAATGTGTGTATCATTATTATTATTATTATTATTATAATATAATAGCACGGTTACACCTGCAGTTTCCATCATACTTTACTTTTTTAGTTGCAAGTTTGAGGTGCGCATGGTCTACAATCTCAGCAGCAGTACATACAATGTAGTGTCTGAAATGTATAAACAGTTGTCTCCAGTTATGTCCTAGTGAGCCTACAATACAGCCAACACTATATAGCGATTGAATGAGTGTGCAAGTGAATTAATTAATAATTTGAGCACAGCCTAGGTGCTACCACAGACAATGGCAGAACAACAAAGATTAAGGAGAAAGTTATTTTTAAAAAACAAAGCAGAAAGATCCACAACGTCACTGCTTGGCTCCAAAAACCTCTGTGCCCATCTCCAACCCAAGCTGGCTGTCTGTATTAAATGTCCAGATGCAGTAAAGACCAACAGCGTGATGACTTTATGTGTAAGTAGACAGACTCTGAAGAAGTGCTAGGATGCTGCAAAGGTTACTTTTCACACAGATGACTAAGCACTGTAGTGTGCAATGGTTTCCCAGTTACATTCACAACAGGGAACAACACAATTCAGTTAAGCTGCCACAAATTTATACAACCAGTGTGTCCAAAGGTTAAGCAGTATATCTTGTTCTCACTGCTATAAAGATCTGCATCCAAGTATGAGCCCTATGCAAAGAGATTGAGGATCAGTACGCACACGCTGTCACACAGGTGGCCACTGCTGTGTTTTATTACCCAGGAGAATGGGGCTGTTCTGTGCGTTTGTGGCTGTTAGCTCTGACGTTTTTCTGCCGTTGGTGACTCAGAGTTCAGGTTTCTCACTATTTGTTCCTCTTAATTGTTTACTGTGTGTTGATGCGAGATAGCAGCTGGGTGGACAGGAAGCAGGAGCCAAATGACACAGGGAAAAATCCTGCCAGTGTCGGAACTAGCCAGGAACTAACGCAGTCTCCCTGCAGCTGATGGCATACACTTGCGTGTGCAATGATGATTCAAACCAATTTAATGATTCTCCACCCTCCAGGATACCCTGGAAACGTTACATAAGGGGATAGGGGGGGAAAAAAACCCTGAAAAATAAAATCATTTAAAGAGGTTTTCATGCTGTTGTAAATAACCGTCTTCTTCTCTGTGCCATTAATTTAGAGAGGATAATCTGTTATATGTATTAGAGCAACTACAAAGCATTACCAAAGCATACAGTCAGTCATATAGATTCATACATCTCATTTACACAACAGCTTCCACTGGCATCTTGTTTACAAAGTTAATTAGTTTTCATTT